TGCTGTCATGGTTGTCCTTGGTTGTTATTTGGTTGGAGTTAGAGACACCTAGGAAATTGGTAAGGCGCATTTCTTGATGCTTCTGGGAAGTCGTTACCAGAAACCCTTAGAAGTCAGTGAACTGAGATGGAGCCTGGTCTTGACTCTGAGCAGCACCCATAGGCTGGGTCAGACGAACGGAAAGGCAGAAGAAGGAAGCCCCACTGCTCTGCCCCAGCAGACATACACTTTTGCAGCGGCCGTGACCTGTGGACATCAGACTCCAGCTTCTCCAGCCTCTCACTAAGTAAGTCCCAGCACCCAGTGACTCCCCGAGGCACCTTCAGGGCCTTGACCTCTGGCTGCGACTGCATCGTTGGTCTCTCCTGTCCAGAGGCTTCCTGGATTTAAGTGGCAACTGGTTTCTCTAGTCCTCCAGCTTGCTGACAGCCATTGTGGAAATAAACAGCCTCGGAGCATGTGAGTCAATCCAATAAACTCCCTTTTGTAGTTAGAAGTATATGTATATGGTGGGTTTCACTCCTCTGGAGAGCCCTGAGTAATCCCCTTTGGCTACATTCCCCATCTGTCCCTGGTGTTTCAAAGTTGAGGTCAAACTCTTTCCCCCCATGCAATACTCCTGAATAAAAAGTCTGTCTTCCCATTTTAAAAAAGTGTCTGATGAATCATTCCTAACGCATTTAACATCACAAAATCTGTCCAACCCCCCCTCCCACCCCAGACAATGGGGAGCATGGGGAAGTGCTGGGAACATGACATGGAGGTCAGCCCCATTGCTAATCACAATGGATTTGACTCATCCCCAGCACTTATTCTGATGGAAAATCCATCTTCAATTACAAAGCTCTGGACTAAGGGAAGGATTTAGAAATGTATCCTTTGTTTAGCGTTCAATTGTCTCTCACAAATTTAGGAACTATTCAGGAAAGACACATGTTACAATTGGGGATGATAGGATTCTAGGGGGTTGTCCATCTTTCTTGTTTTGCAAATACGTTCGATTTTTTTCCTACACATAAATTCCAGGCATTCAGGATCTCCTGCGTGCTAACTTGTATCTGAATCCTCAATTAAGGCTCATTGTGCCTTCGTGACCAAGTGCAGAGCTGGGGAACTGTGTGAGTCATCAGAGGCACACAATCCCTCTGAGGTTGAACAAGGCGATACTCTGCCTTATGTTTGAGCTCTTGTGATGTAAATAAGAATCCTCTTTTTTTTTCTAATCTGTTCCGACCTTATCCTTTATGTTGTTACTGTTTTTCTTAGTGATTTTACTGTTTAAAAATGACCCTCAAAATGTACTGCAAAAGTTGTTGTCTCTCAATCTTCAGCCCCAGCAAGCAGCAGTCAGCCCTGTGGAGAAAATAATTGTATTATTCAGCATCACTCAGGCTGTGGTAATGTTTATGAAGACAACAGACATGAACTCTGATAGCTGCCTGTGTGTGTGTGTGTGTGACATGGGTGATATGAAGAAAGCATCATTCTGACAAGCAGATCATAGGCAAAGGTGCAGGTCACCAGGAGATGGGATCCCAGGAAGACATCTCTGACTTTGGCCAGGGCTGTGCTGTCCTGGGCTCTGGGCTGAGCTCACAGAGTGATCATACCCTCACCCACTCCTTGGGGGCTGGCATTATTATCTTCATCTCAGCTGCCGAGTGGGGCTCAAAGAGCAAGGCTCTCTTTCAAATGGCTAACAAAGGGTACAGGCAGAATGTGGACCGGTGTTTGTTTTTAAAGTTGTAAGGATCCCTGAATGTGTGCTTTTTTTTTGCATTTTGCTGAAATAAAAAAATAAATAAATAAAAAATAAGAAGACGAAGTTGCCGCGGGGCCTTCCCTGAGTGTCTTGTGAGGTATGGAATGGGCATTGTGCTGCACTGTGTGGATCCAGTGGCATGTCTGTCTCATCCAGATGTAGAGGAAAGCAAGGGATGCTGAACTGGGAACTGAGTAGTCTCTAGGATGCAGTCACTGCCCCCTGGGTTTGCCCCTCCAGTTCAGAGGTGAAATGTTTTGTTGGTTGATTTCTATTCTCTCCATGGGCAGTTTCGAACATGGATTCGAGTGAATTCCGAAGGAGAGGGAAGGAGATGGTGGATTATATAGCTGACTATCTGGAAGGCATTGAGGGACGTCCAGTGTACCCTGATGTGGAGCCTGGCTACCTTCGGCCCCTGATCCCCGCCACTGCCCCCCAGGAACCAGAAGCATATGAAGACATTATCAGAGACATTGAGAAGATAATCATGCCGGGGGTGAGTATGCATATGAGGTCAGAGGACAACAGGGTTTATGCTAATAAAGCACCTACTGGAAGCTACAGCGTCACCGGGTCACTGAACCAGAGAAGTTAAAGAGAAATTCCTGCCATTGTTTCAGTTTTGGCTGAGACAATTTAAGATTAGGGGAATTAGGTGGTCCATGGAGCTCGGATGGGATGGGAAATGATAGATCCAAATGACATGGCCTCCAAAGGTAAAGGTTTTCTACCAAGGCCCCCAGGACCCAGTACTTGCTTCACCAAGCTCAGTTCCTAATTACCCTATGATGGCAAGAAAAAAATAAGCTCCTGGTAGTTGGTTGCAAGTAGTTTAATTAACTATCCCAAATAAAGGCACTTGTAGCATTCTTGTATCTGTCAAAAGGTAGCTTTCATGTCCTGAGGGGATGAGTTTTCTTCATTTTGTTTGGGCATGGGCAGTGTATACTGCTTCTGCCCAAGGGCACAGAATACCAGTGCCCTCCCTAATAGACGGGTGGATCAAAGGGTCGCAGTGAACCTTAGAGGTATGTCTCCACAGTACTACTTTACCCATCAAGCAATTTACCTAAAAGCCTGTCCATTAACATGATTCTGAACAAGTAGGCCTTACCCTGATCACCAAAATCATGTGTAAAGTCTGAGCTGGGCATCCGCCCCCTCCCCCAGCACTAAAGGTGAATGAGGAACAAGCATGTGGTATGCAGGGCAGCGGGGAGCTGGGATGGTGGGTACTCACTCTTGTTTTCAGAGAGAACACAGAGGCTCTGGGGAGGCAGCCAAAGTCACAGGCTCGAGTCAGCGCCTCAGTTCCAGAACACCTCTCACAGCCCTTGTCAGGTTTCATCTTTAGGAGATTTCCCCTGGTATTTGTTCTTTGAGTAAAACTCAAAATTCTGGCTCTGGCCTGCAAGTTGAACAAATAAGCTAAGCCAGTCAGCACAAAGCCGGTGCGGGGAGGTACAGTCAAATGTCAGGCCACAAAGGAATACAGGGGTGCTGGGAAAATGTGCAGTCTTCCTGCAGGAGTCTACACTCCATAGCAGTATTTACTGGGTCGAGCAGAACTGAGAAACGCAGAGGCTCTGGGGTTAGCTCCCTGGGTGACAGTTCCAGCCAGCCTGGTGCTCGCCCTGTGGTTGACCCGAAGCTACGTGAAAATTCTGTGCCGTGCAGAGCCCGTGTGGGACTATCAAGTCCACATGCTCTGTGGCTGTTCACAGAGAGAAAGGCAGGAGGAGTGTCCTTTCCAGTCAAGAATCGCCCTGGCCTTTCCAAGACGTGGATAGCGAGGAGAGGGAGCGGCAGGCAGCGTGGAGCCTCCGAGTACCTAAAGAAACGGACACCCTGGGCTCCAGCTGTGACCTCTGGCCCTGGGCATTTGTATAGTCTTTGGCCTCCTCCTCCATTGGCCTTTGCAAGTTACACTGTATAAAGGCATTTCCGCAAAGACAAACGAGTTACCACTGCAGATGTTTTGGTTTTTATCTGAACATTTTTTCTTTTTCTTTTTTTTTTTCTTTCTAAAGCCTCATGGGCTCCACTCCTGCTCTGCTGAACACATCACTCAGCCTGTGAAGTTCTCCAGAGCCTCTGAGACTCACTGTCAGCCTCCCTCCCTCCCTCCCCCCTTCCTGTTCTTGCTAACCCTGATTTTCTTTCACTCTCACTTTTTTTTTTTTCCGTTGGCTCTGTCCCACTCCCAGGCTTGGAGACAGCCATGCAATGAGCCTTGCTGGAATCTTCCAGTTTTTAATGAGCTATCCTAGTTGGTTATCTTTGTAATCATAATCGGGGGTTCCTTGTAGCACGTACTGGCCAGTAAATGTCTAATATGTGGTTTTACTGAGAAAAGACACGTTTGCATCTTTGCAAAGACTATGAAAAATGGCAATGTCGGCTTTCTGTGTTAGTCGGCTTTCTGACCCTGTAACAGATGGCTGAAATAACAAACACATAGAAACAAGGTTCATTTTGGTCTATAGTGTTGGAGGTTCAACCAGGACTCACTGGTCCTTTTGCTTTTAGCCTGTGGTGAGCCAGTGCATCGTGGCAGGATAGGGCAGAGGAAATCTACTCACCTTATGTGAGTGGAAAGCGATGCAGAGAAAGAGGAGGGGACCACTCGATCTTACACTTCTCTATGAGGGCACATCACAAGACCTAAAGCCTCTCATTCCTCCTGATAGTACCGCCTTGGAGACTGAGCCTCTAACACACGCAGCTTTGGGGAGTCATAAGAGCTGCATCATAACAAGTACACAGACGAGGTGACTTCAACATCTCTCACATTTCTGGAGGTTGGACTCAGATGAGGGATTCCTACAGCAAGCAACTCTGTACCCTCCAGCGATAGAGAGCTCTGGTCTTCTCCTCCTCCTCCTCACCCCCTCCTTCTCCTCCTCACCCCCCTACTCCTTCTCCTCCTCCTCACCCCCTCCTTCTCCTCCTCCCCACCCCCTACTCCTTCTCCTGCACCCCACTCCCTCCTCCTCCTTCTCCTCCTCCTCCTTCTCCTCCTCCCC